TACCACCCCAAGCCTGGCAAGCTGAATGTTTAAAATGGCTTTTTAAAAATAAGCTTGGTGGGTTTTTATTTCATTTTTTTAATGCTTTGAATTACCACACTAAAAAAAAAATAAACTGAGCATGTATTTACTTATACAGCAGCTTAAAAACTTTGACTTAGCGTCCCTTTAAAAAACAAGATCCAAGCAGATAGGAATGGACCAACATCACTGCTCGATCTGATGGTGCCCGTGTTGATAAAATCAGACTCAAGATTGAGTCTAATAAGCGGAAAATTCCAATAGGTGTTCGCAGGAAAAGCCTAAGGAAACAGGTAAACCCAGGAGGGCTGTGCTGGTTGATGCCAGGGTGCGAGGTAGGAGAAGCCTGTCACGAGATATGAAGGCCAAGCCAGTCTAGTCCCTGTGAACTGTAAAGACTGGTTCCCAGAGTTCCCTCTAAAGCAAGAAAAACCTCAGGGCAGCCCCCAATAGATCAGGATGGAGATGATAGAGGAAAAGAAAAGTTCCAGACATAATGAAGCTGAGGCGCAGAGCCAGGAAGGTGGAGAAGGGCCTGTCACACATGCTCTGATCTTAAACCACCTTCATAACCCTCCCCCCATTCCTAAAAGTTCCAGCCAGTGACTCGATGACTCCGCAGTTACAGGTGTGGATGGCTCCTGTGAAAGAGCCTAGTTTGCTTCCCAGGACCTACATCAGGAAGCTTGGAAGAGCCTGTAACTCCAGCCTCAAGAGATCTGACACCCTCCACTGGCCTATGCATGTACGCGCGCACACACACTCAATTAAAAAATGTTTTAAAAAGTCTTTAGAAGTAGGGAAATAAAGAAAAGACCAAGAAGCAGGCCTTTCACATCACATCAAAGCAAAACCTAGCAAAATATTGAGGTCAAATTCCGTACAAGGAAAAAAAAAAGCCCAATATTCTTTCCATTAACTGTAAAAAATACTCTACACAATGAATTAATGTTCCCCACACAGAGAAAACCCAAACAAAAGCCAGTTTTAAAATCAATGAAAGATCTAAGAAACAGGTGTGAGGCATAAATGCATACAATTCACAATCAGAAAAAGTCAGAAACGAGGTTATTAAAAACTTCCCCAAAATAGGAACTGGAGAGATGGCTCAGGTGTTAAGATCACCGACCGCTAGAGATCAGATTCTATTCCTAGCACCACACAGCAGCTCACGACCGTGTGTAATTCTAGTCCCAGGGGCTCCAGCACTCTCTGCTGACCACTTTGGGAGCTCGGCCTGGACTTGGTGCACATACCTACCTGCAGGCAAAATATCCACACACACAATCTAAAGCCATCACTTCCTTGAAATAAAAAAAAAAATCAAATATAATCAAAAGAATACAGAGCAAACGTGATTATCAAACAAAAGGATGAGGACTAAATCTGGTAAAAATTCTGCAAAGGGAGAAGGAAAAAAATTGATTAAAAGGAAGGAAAGAAGATGAAAGAACCCTGTGAATATCTAGAGCAGCGGTTCCCAGCCTTCCTAATGCTGCGACCATTCCTCATGTTGTGGGACCCCCGACCACAAAATTATTTTTGTTGCTACTTCATAACTGTAATTTTGATACCATGACGATGTAAATATCTGATATGCAGGATATGTGATATGTGACCTTTGGGGGTGGAGGAATCACAACCCCCAGATTGAGAATCACTCATCTAGATAAAGAACTTTGAGAACACGAAGAAGCTGTGTCGTCGTCACATGCCACAGCAGCTTCCTGTGCCTGAGACATCAGGAAGACATCAGCACCTTCAAGGAGGAACAGATGAGCTATGGGCCTTGAGCCCAGCAAGCTGACTCCCAGAAGGACAGGTACAGACACACTGTTATCGGCACTCAAGAACTTTGAGGGGGACTATTTCTATGAGTCTGCTCAGAGGGGTCTAACTATAAATTGGAAGGCACTAATATTAAAAAAAAAACTAGGGAATATTAGTTTCAAATGCCTAAATGACTTAAAGAGAAAGTATTTGAAGAATTTCTCAATAATTGTTAGCTATAGTGGGATCGCTATTCCGGGACTGTTTGTATGTAGTGGGGAATAAAGCAGATGAATGTTTATGGAATATTCTAACATCCCCATAGGTGAAACAAGTGGGATTGTAAAACAGGACTCAAGCAAGTACCTGGCATAGTCTGAATTTGCAATGGAGGGACAAATACAAGGTCCACTAAATACACACATATGCACATTGGTTAATAAAAATAGTTTCCCGATTCTACCCACAAAAGAGGCACAATACAACGAGCAACTGAAAAGCATCAAGCATCCCAAGTTCCCAGACAATGGTCTGGAAATACTGTCTGCTTGGAAAAACTGTAGCTGCTTTGAGAAGGGCCACTTCTTGTTTTGGGGACATTAAATGTACTCTGGCTGTGTGGCCTGGCTATTCAGTACATGCATAAGACTCATAAGGAACCTGGGGCTCTACCTGGCTAAAAATAGTGCCGCTGGAGCTTTCATAAGGGAAGTAATTACAACAGATTGAAATTCAAATATATTCAAATGCACAAATTTCTAACAATATTAAAAAAACAAGAGAGCGTTTTCAGAGCATCAAGATGAAATCAATGTGTCATCCTGACAAAGGTTAAACAAATGACAGGGTTCAGGGGGCTTGTTTTATGTTTCCCCTTTGAGGTGCACCATGTTTGAACAAACAGCAAGTGGGAAATTTCCCAGTAAAAGCACCCCCAGCAGTAACCTTGGGATAACTGAACTAGAATGTCACACATTTCAAGTAGTAATGAAGTAATACACCTAGGCCGGTGATTGTCAACCTGTGGGTCATGACCCCTTTGCAGGATTGAATAACCTTTTCATAGGGGTTGCATGTCAGGTATTCTGCATATCAGATTATTTATATGAGGATTCATAACTAGCAAAATTACAGTTTTGAAGTAGCAGCAAAATAATTTTATGGTTGGGAGGTCACCACTACATGAGGAACCGTGCTAAAAGGTCATAACATTAGAAAGGTTGAGAACCACTGGCCTAGATATTACATATCAACAGTTGCTAACATCTAAGAAAAATCAGCAAGGGGGCAGGACACTGCCTGTTTGCTGGTGAAAGGATAGATCTCACAGTTTTGCCAAGGGTAATGGATAGGAATCTGACCTCAACTCTGGATGGCAGGAGAGGCAGGATGGGTTGAACTGTACCATGAGTGGTGCAGTCACAAACAGGTGTGGTTAGCCAAGCGCAAAGCCCACGCTTAAAAAAATCATTATTAGAAAGCAAACAAGGCATGGAGAATAAGGCTTTCTAGCCTAAGTATTTAAAGGGAATGCCTACTTTGTAAATGAGTGAGATTAAACCCGACAAAACATGATAGTATTCGGCTGTAAGGAAAAATGAAATTCGTAGGAAAATGGATGAACTGAAAAATTATATTAATCAAGCTCACCCAAATGTAGAAAGAAAAAAAAATCCACATGTTGTCCCTCAAATGCAGAGCCTAGCCTAGAACACAGGAATATAGGTAAGCAGGGACGTGCGCGTGTGTGGACATTCAGAAAGGAAACAGAACAGAGGGTAATATAATGTAGTAAGGAAGGACAAAATGCAGGCAAAAGGCACATCAATCATGAGGAAAGATATAAAGGGATTGCTTTCTAGTTTCAGCCCCATGTAGATTTTTCATGTACTGGATAAGTGAATAAAAGCATAATTAATATTGGAGGAGTAAAATCTTAGGTTTTAAAAGGGCCAACCTAGCTAGATAGAATTTCACTGAAGTCTGGGATGGAGTTTGATGGCTGCCTTATACCAACTGTATCCTGATTTTATATGAATTCATTAGAACAAAATTATTTTTATTTTTATTTTTTTAAAGATTAAACCCTTCCATCTCTGGATGCAAGTGGGAGTGATACACTTTAAAGTAGCAGAAATTAATTTTAGTAGAAAAGTCAATACAGAGGTGAGGTTTACAGTAAGGGGAGCGGGGCAATTAGAGAGGGACAGAAGAAGGTATTGAGTGGCCGGAAGACTGTTTCCTGACTTGTGTGTGCAGTGGGGGTAAGGATGCTATGAAGTGCGTTTGTGTGTTGGGGAATATTATTTTAAGGTGTGGTACTTTTGTTTATATTGCTTTGCTTGACTCTGTGAAGCTGAAATTCTTTGCCTGTCTAAGACACCTGAGGGTCCTAAGAAAGAGCTGAATGGCCAATAGCGAGGCAGGAGCAAGAATCGGTGGGGCTGGCAGGTGGAGAGGATAAAGAGGAGAAATGAGGAGGAGGAAGGCGAAGGCGCAATGAGAAAACAAGGGGAGGAGGATGTCAGGGGCCAGCCACCCAGCCAGCCATGGAGTAAGAGTAAAAGATACACAGAAGTAAGAAAAGGAAAAAATCCAGAGGCAAAAGGTAGTTGGGATAATTTAAGAAAAACTGGCTAGAAACAAGCCAAGTTAAGGCCAGGCATTCCTAACTAAGAATAAGCCTCCATGTGTGATTTATTTGGGAGCTGGGTCTTTCCCCTTCCCCAAAAGGCAAGAGAGTAAGAGCAAAAATAACCAACAACACTTGTGTTCAACCCTCAAGTGCTGAATTCTACTAGGCTTCCAATGTGACCATAGGAGGAGGTGGGGCTTAGGGGAAATGATTAAAGAGGGTGTAGCCCTCAAGCACAGGATTAGTGCCCTGATATACAGAGAAATGAGAGATAGCTTCATTCTCTCCACCATCTGGGGATCTAGTGGGGGAGCTAGCCTCACTACGAACCAAACTGCCAGGTGCCATGATGTCCAGCACCCATAACACAGAGATATGTTAGCTGTTTAAGCCGTCTAGTCTATACTGGGGTTTGTTTCTCTTTCTTTTGTTTTTAGCAGCCCACCTAGAACCTGTGCTCACTAAATTCACATATGTTTTGTTGAAATTTACACACACACACACACACACACACACACACACTTACTGTTAAACAAAGAAATTAGACAAACACACACCCATGCAGGTCCCTTACCTGTGCCTTGGCCAACTTCTTTTCCAGCAGATCTCGTTCCCGCTCTGTTTGCTGCAGACGTTTATTCAGCTCTACTATGTCTCCCTTGAGTGATGCCAGGGCTGCCAAGTGGAGCTGTGGTGGCAGAAGGAAAGGACCCATGGTTAGACAAGCTCATTTCCTTCCCTTCCTCCAATTAGCATAGCTATGTAGGAAAAAAAAATCTATTACCCTAAAGGGGACTCGTCTGAAAATGGGAGTGCATTAATCTCAGGAACAACACACATAAGTCAGGGTCTTAGGTGAGCTGGTTATATAGTCACTGTAGATATAGCAGGAAAAGTCATTCCTGTGTGGGGTAGACCCGCAATTAGATGGTAAGTTCAGAGTAGAGAGCACAGCTCTTTATTCAAAAGGCTTTTCCTGAGTAAGTGTGATAGTGACAGCACTAAGGGGCTGCCTAACTCTAAAGCACAAGGTCTGAAGCAGGAGGATCTGAAGTTGGAAGCCAGCCTGGACTACCTTAGGAAATCCTGTCTGGAACAAAACTAAACAAAGCCCCCCCGACCCCCCAAAAAAAGGATAAGAGAAAGAGAGGGGTAGGAAGAAAAAAAGGAGAGGAAGGAAGGAAGGAAGGAAGGAAGGAAGGAAGGACGGAAGGAGGGAGGGAGGAAGGGGAGGGAGGGAGGAAGGGGAGGGAGGGAGGGAGGCAGGGAAGGAAGGAAGGAAGGAAGGAAGGAAGGAAGGAAGGAGGGAGGGAGGGAAGGAAGGAGGGAGGGAAGGAAGGAAGGAGGGAAGGAAGGACACAAAAGACACAGAGAAGAGCTGGGGGAAGGGAGGGACAGACGACGACTGGGGGAGGACATAGCTCAGTGGTGGAGCACTAGCTTAACATGTAGGCAGCTTGACTTCCCATCAGTTCAAAGAAAGGAAGAGCTGGTTTTATGAGTTAGCTCTTCTTCCAGTTGTTAATTTTCTTGCTATTAACTCCTTCCTCATCGCCTGCCAGATAGCCTTGATTGACTGGGTAGATTCTTTCTAAACTAATAGACTGACAAACACAATCAGAATCCTGATGCTACGTTGTGCTCCAAAGAGCAAACGTCCATCCACCCAGACACCATTCCCCAGCCATCTTGCTCAGGTTAACAGAAGCTGGAAAGAAAGTTCCTCAGTAGATTTTAATAGTGGAGAGCTAAGCATTATGACCAGAATCTGAACAACTTTGCATTCTGAATACAGAATTTGGCTGCATAGGCTCCTGTCCCAGTTGGGGCTTCTGTGACTCTCCAGGCCAGAGATATGAAGACTACAAAACACATTCACCACACCCACCTCGGGAGCCTTTGCCTGCCCAGGAACTGCGGATACCTGCCTTCCTATTGCAGCCTAGTAGGTAACTCAGGCTGCTCACCTCTGCACCCTGCAGTGTGCTGCCCCCTAGAAATGGAATCATAACAGATGCTCCCTCACATAGCCGCTCTGTAGCTTCCCCGCGGACTTAATGTGAGCTGAGACGGAAACAGATGTGTTCCTAGAGGATGGCCTGGCACGGCAGTGCACAATTCAAAGCAAAGATCACTAGCGTTTTAGCGCTGGGAGACCACTCTCCCTGCCCCCTGCTTGATGTGTTGGAGGTGGGCAGTAGCTTCAAAGCACTTGGGTTCCTTAGACTCCAACAGCAGTGTGACTAACTTAATTGTACACAGGCTACAAACCAACAGATCAATCGCTGATTTGAAACCAGGAACGCTTGAAATTTAAAAAGGAAATGCCAAGCAATCTGGTGGTATTTGCGTCTGGAGTAGGGCTAGGGCCCCTCAGAAAAGGTCACTTTGCTGTTGAGATACAAGGTTTATGTGACGGTTTCTCAGTACAAATACCACTGTGCTCCCGCTGTACAATCTTTCTGAGATTTGTTTTGTTTACAGTTTGGTGAAGAGAAAGGTTCAGTCCTTTCCATGGGGGCTGTTGCCTTAATTCCACAGCACTGGCACTAGCATGCCCCCTGATCGGTCAGGAGAACATACACCGCCTAATGCCTGGTGGGGATCATGAAACACATCAGGACCTCACACACGCTTAAAAAGACCCAGGCACAGACACAAGGGTCAATTCCGAGAGCCTGGTCAGCTTCTACCTAGCTCACTGGGGCTTACATCTTGGGTTGTCTGCAGGACTTGGAAGGATGGAAGGGAAAAGCTGGCATAGAATATTGCAGACCCAACATTACGAACTACGCCACAGGAGGAGACAGAGTGGCTACTTCCACCACAGCCACACCAGAAGGGTCCACAATAGGATCACACTCTCGGCGGGATGCTGGACCATAGCATGTGCACAGGACAGCTCTGTGCTTCCCCAGATGGAAGATGCTTCTCAATGAAGGGGGCAGACAGGTCCCAAAGAGTCTCCTGAATTTCAGGATGGTTTCTACAGACAAATATGAAAAGGCGTGTACATAAGAATGTGTTCAGCATGCTAAGATCTATGTGCCTCCAAGTTAACGAACATCTGTGATGGATATTAGCTCTGTGACCCCACGGAATGTCACACACTGGTGTGCCATGAGGACGGGATGTCTGAGAGCGAGGCAAGGACCACAGTGCTCAGCTGGGGCAACTGCAAGGCTGAGTCACTTTCTAAAGGCTGCACAGAGCACCTGGCACCGCAAAGCATGGCCCAGCATACTGCCGTACCCTAGACTGCATGACAGTAATCTGCATGAGTTGTCCATGGACAAAAACTTTGCTTAAAAGAAGTTTACAGGGCTGGAGAGATGGCTCAGTAGTTAAGAGCATTGCCTGCTCTTCCAAAGGTCCTGAGTTCAATTCCCAGCAACCACATGGTGGCTCACAACCATCTGTAATGGCATCTGGTGCCCTCTTCTGGCCTGCAGGCATACACACAGATAGAACACTGTATACATAATAAATAAATAAATAAAATATTTTTTTAAAAAAAGAAGTTTACATACATGATGATGAGAGAAATGAAACGCAACTCGAACAATAAATTGGAAAAGGCATTCTAATGGACACCCAGCGGGCTCTGGGTGGCTCGAAATTGTTTTCAGTATTTTTAATTCAGTGGATATTTTTAAAGGGAGTTATTTTTGTATTAAGAAAACAATAAAAAGTCCGGAAAGAGAATAATAACTGAAACAGCCTGTTTATTGTCTCGGTCCTTTGGCCCTTTTGATGGAAAGAAGACAGAATAAAATGAGTTCACTGTTGACCATTTCTCAACAAAAGCGCAGAAGGCAGCACTGCCCCCCACAGTCATGGGGCGCTCTCAACACATGTGCATGCCTGTTTGCCTGTCAAGTTTAAAGTTAGCAGGGAAAGAGAAGCTTCTACGTGCTCAGTGCTGGCACAGGCAGCCTAGTCCTGAATTCCACCAAGTCCCAAGGCTTTGGATGTCGTCTCTTAGATCTCTGTGAATTTTTAAACATTTTTACTTAATTGATTATTATTATCTTATCATCATCATCATCATTTTATTATTTGGGCCTGTATGAGTTAGGGTGAGCACATGTGGTGGCCCACATGGGTGCAAAGGTCAGACAGAGGAAAACACGAAGGATTCGTCTTCCCTATCCACTGTGGGTTCTGGGCATTGAACTTGTGTTTCCAGGTTTATGTGACAAGTGCTTTTACCTTCTGGGCCATCTCAATAGTCCTGTCTGTGAAGCTGGTGTGGAACCTTGTCACTGTCTATATACATTCGGATTTGGAACACACAGGTGACAAATGCATACATTCTCATGTCTCTAGGAGGAAAAGTCCCAGTTCTCTAGGTTGTTGACTGTGCTGCGGGCACCCAAATGCAGCTATACCACCTGGACATTTGACAACAGGGGAATAGTCAAGCTAGGCAGTTGGTATTTTTGGACAGTCTGTTCCTTGAGTAAACCTGAACTGTGGAAATAAAGTCTTAAGGATGAGGCAGCTAAGGTGTCCAGCTCCAGGACACAAGTGAGGACCAAGCAGACCGACTCTCCTGGAGGTTTTTCCATGCTGAGCAGATAAGCAGCCCCGTATATTATCGGCAGGAGACAAAGGGCGTCATGCTCTCTAAAATGCCCTTAGAATCCATCAGCCCTACAAGGCGATGAGTGGCCTCTGGAAGCACTTGCCTCCATTCTGCTTTTACTAACAATAAGGGGCAAACTAAAGCCCGCTCTGTTGAGCTAAGCAGGTATTCTCTGATACAACACAATATGACTATCATCATCATCATCATCATCATCATCATCATCATCATCATCATCCAGTGCTTGTGTCTAGGCTGTTAAACTCTACCTCTGTCACTTGGCTCATACTCCTGGGACATAGGCCTTTGAACAGCCCAGTCATCGAAGGATCAAAGGCTCCAGCAACATGGCAGGGATGGAGGACTGTGTCATGTGAAGCATCTCTTTTCAGTATGGGTACCACTAGGCACTCCCTACCATAGGCTGTGCTGGTCTTCCTGCCCTGTGTGGGTGACCTCATCCAGGGGGCACTTTGAGGGTGCTGTCCTTCCTCCTGTGCCTATTTGTCTCAGGAGGTGTTTGTATAAGCTGTGTCATTCATTCCCAGGATGCCTCTGTTACTGTTCTACTGTGGGATAAGGGAATCTCTGCTGTGGACTATTCCTTTACAATGTGTGACTATATATGTTACTGTGATTGGTTTAATAAAGAAGCTGACTGGCCAATAGTTGGATAGAACAAGGTTAGGCAGGAGAGACAGACTAGGGGAATGCTGGGAGGAAAAAGGGCAGAATCTGGAGTCGCCAGCTGACACACAGAGAGAGCAGGAAATGACATTAATAAAGGTACTGCTACATGGCAGAGCATAGATAAAAAATACGGGTTAACTTAAAATGTAAGAGCTAGTTAGTAATAAGCCTGAGCTATTGGCCAAGAGTTTATAATTTATATTAAGTCTCCGTGTCAGTTATTTGGGAGCAGGCAGCTGGGACAGGGAAACTTCCATATACAAATTCTATACTGCCCTCATTCTTCCTCAGTCCTCCATATAATGACACACTTTGGTCTTACATTTTATGGAAGACGATAGATAATGCCAACTCTTTCTTTTACACAGTGACCTCTTCATTCAAGGGTAAGAAACAAGTGCAACATTGGC